CTGGTACCCTTCCTTCTGAAACTATTCCAAATAATCCAAAAGAAGGAATCCTTCCCAAATCATTTTATGAACCAACATCATCCTGATACCAAAACCCGGCAGAGACCCAACAAGAAAAGAAAACTTCAGGCAATATCCATGATGAACATAGATGCAAAAACCTTCAATAAAATATTGGCAAGCCGATCGCAATAGCAAATCAAAAAACTTAACCATCATGATCAAGTGGGATTCATCCCGGGATGCAAGGCTGGTTCAGATGCAAGTCTATAAACATAATTCACCACATAAACAGAACCAAAAACAAAACCACATGATTATCTCAATTGAACAGAGAGGCATTCGACAAAATTCAACAGCCCTTTATGCTAAAACCCTCAATAAACTCGGTATCGATGAAACGTATATCAAAGTAATAAAAGCTATTTACGACAAACCAACAGCCAGTAGTATCATCCTGAATGGGCAAAAACTGGAAGCATTCCCTTTGAAATCCGGCACTAGACAAGGATGCCCTCTCTCACCACTCCTATTCAATATAGTACTGGAAGTTCTAGCCAGAGCAATGAGGAAGAAAAGAAATAAAGGGCATTCAACTAGGAAAGGTGGAAGCCAATTGTCTCTATTTGCAGACGACATGATAGTATACCTAGAAAGGACTCCATCGCCCTCAGCCCAAAAACTCCTGAAACTGATAAGCAACTTCAGCAAAGTCTCAGGATATAAAATCAATGTGCAAAAATCACAAGCCTTCCTCTACACCAATAACAGACTTAAAGAAAGCTAAATCAAGAAGGAACTGCCCTTTCACAATTGCTACAAAAGAATAAATAACCTAGGAATACAACTCACAGAATGTAAGGGACCTCTTCAAAGAAACTAAAAACCACTGCTCAACGAAAATAAGAGAGGGCACAAACAGATGGAGAAACATTCCATGTTCATGGTTAGAAAGAATTAATATCATGAAAATGACTATACTGCCCAAAGTAATTTACAGGAATAACACTATTCCCATCAAGCTACTATTGACTTTCTTACAGAACTGGAAAAAACCACCATGAACTTCATGTGGAACCAAAAGAGAGCCCGCATAGCCAAGTCAATTCTAAGCAAAAAGAACACAGCGGGGGGCATCACACTACCGGATTTCAAACTATACTACAAGGCTACAGTAATCAAAACATCATGGTACTGGTACCAAAACAGAGATATAGACCAATGGAACAGAACAGAGGCATCGGAGGCAACACCAACATATCTACAACCATACAATCTTTGATAACCTGACAAAAACAAGCAATGGGGAAAGGATTCCCTGTTTAATAAGTGTGTTGGTGAAAACAGGCTAGCCATGTGCAGAAAGCAGAAACTGGACCCTTCCTGACACCTTACATTAAATTAACTCCAAATGGATTAAAGACTTAAACATAAGACCTGGCACCATAAAAACCCTAGAAAAAATCTAGGCAAAGCCATCCAGGACATAGGAGTAGGCAAGGACTTCATGAACAAACACCAAAGCATTGGCAACAAAGCCAAAATAGACAAATGGGGACCTAATCAAACTCCACAGCTTCTGCACAGCAAAAGAAACAGTCACTAGAGTGGAATCGGCAACCAACAGAATGGGAAAAAATTCTTGCATTTTACCCATCTGACAAAGGGCTGATATCCAGAATTTACAAAAAACTCAAACAGATTTACAGAAAACAAACAAGCAAGCCCATTCAAAATGGGCAAAGGATATGAACAGACACTTTACAAAGAAGACATATATGAGGCCAACAATCATATGAAAAAATGCTCATCAGTCACTGGTCATCAGAGAGATGCAAATCAAAACCACATTGAGATACCATCTCATGCCAGTTAGAATGGTGATCATTAAAACATCTGGAGACACAGATGCTGGAGAAGGATGTGGAGAACAAGGAACACTTTTACACTGTTGGTGGGAGTGTAAATTAGTTCAAACCATTGTGAAAAGACAGTGTGGTGATTCCTCAAGGCCTTAGAAATAGAAATTCCATTTGACCCAGCAATTCCATTACTGGGTATATATCCAAAGGACTATAAATCGTTCTACTATAAGGACACATGCACACGAATGTTCACTGCAGCACTGTTTACAATAGCAAAGACCTGGAACCACCCAAATGCCCATTGATGATAGACTGGATTGGGAAAATGTGGCACATAGATCACCATGGAATATTATGCAGCAATCAGAAATGATGAGTTCGTGTCGTTTGTAGGGACATGGATGGATCTGGAGAACATCATTCTCAGCACACTGACACAAGAACAGAAAATGAAATACTGCATATTCTCAATCACAGGCGGGTGATGAAAAATGAGAACACATGGACACAGGGAGGGGAGTACTACACACTGGGGTCTATAGGGGGGAAAAGGGGAGGGCCAGCGGAGGGGGAGCTGGGGAGGGATAGCCTGGGAAGAAATGCCAAATGTGGGTGAAGGGGAGAAAGGAAGCAAACACACTGCCATGTGTGTACCTATGCAACTGTCTTGCATGTTCTGCACATGTACCCCAAAACCTAAAATGCATAAAAAACCCAAAAAACAAAAAACCAAAAAACAAGCAAAAAAAAGTTATTCTTAGCTTTTAAAATGATACTTAAGAAAGCCTTAATAGGACTATAGAACAGGTACTCCCTACTTCCCCAACCCTCCACACAATATAACACATTAGTTCATTTGTATTTAAGATTTATCTTGTTTATGCCTCAATTTCGGTATCATTCTTACCTTTTAAACAGCTAATATTTTGTATCTAGTTCTGTGCAAGCAAAAAGCAATCTTATTCTTCTTATAATTCCCCTTTTACTTAATCAGAACATTTTTTTTCCAGTTTGTTCATTAGTCACGCTCAGGTAAAAGAATAGTCTCTCTTTCTAAAGAAAAAACAAAATACATTTGACCTAAATCTGTAGATGTCTCTCTGAGTTTTGACTTAAAGTTTCTCTCGTTGTATCCTGCATCCCCTCAGGTCCCACTCATTCACACAGCCCAGGCCTGATTCAGCCTTACAGGCACACAGTGAGAAAGGAGCAGGGCTTTTTTTTTTTCATTTCCAGCTCTACCTCCCACAGGGTATACTAGCTCATGCTTATGATACCTTCAAGTTGTAACACTAGAGGGCAGGGAATTAAGGAAAAGAAACCTTACATGATACATAAGTGATCTGGTGTTGTCACCTTCTGGTGGTGGCTTAAGTCCTTAAGGATGATTTGGATTCTTTGCTGATTCCCTCTGTCTGGACCTTGCAGTAGCACATCCCTATTGTAGTCCACTTCTGATTCCTTTCCTCAAATTTTCTCTTCTAAGGATCCACTTATTCCATATATGCTTGCTGTTGAGATCAATGCACCTTGACATGTTGACATCTGGTGCAAGATTCCTTCAAGATGACTCAAGTCCAGAACACCCAGTGATTCTACCAGGAGAAAAGCTCATGCGCATCTACTGCCACACACAGCAGGGACAGGAGGCCCCCAATCTCTTTTCTTTCCTACTTGGCCGCAAACCATTCCACCTAGACTATCACTTTTAAATACTTTTAGGCATGAGTCAGGCACCAGGGCTAGTGTCCCCAAATCCCAAAGAGCACATATCAGCTTTTCAAGAGAATCTTTAAGTGCCCATTGCTACTTCGTTTGTAAAGGTAGTAAGAAAGCAGCGCCTCTCATTGCCGTATGAGGAAAATGAGCAAAGATAAAAAGAGGGTGGGGATCAATTCACACCAATACCTCTCTCAAAGAACTCTCTGCTGCTAATCTACTCTGATCAGTGTCTTCACCTCATCTTATATTCCCTGGACAACTTGGTGTAAGACCTACACAATCTCTCAGTACTATTCTTTTAGAAATGAATAATCGAACTTTCACACTTGGAGGGAAAGGTAGAGATAAATACTGCCAGATTGTTCTAGTCCACTTTCGTTTCTAGTCTACTTTCAGGAATAAACAGCAGTGATTAAACATAATTTAACCATTTTTTTAACAAACTGAATTATTTGAACCAAGTGCCAGAATCTTGTGGCATTGTGAACTGGCATAAAATGTAGTTTAAAATCTTTGTAGTATATTTGCTGTAAAATGAAGATGATAGTACTTGCCTCACAATCTGGTACTGAGGAATAAATTAAATTTAATAAATAATATCTGGAAAGAAGTTAACACAAAGTCTGCAATATAATAGGCACTAAATGTAATATGCTGCTTCTTCTTCTTCTTCTTCTTCTTCTTCTTCTTCCTCTTCTTCTTCTTTTTTGAGACAGAGTCTTGCTGTCTTACTCTTATCATCCAGGCAGGAATAGAGTGGAGTGGTGCTATCTCAGCTCACTACAACATCTGCCTCCCTGGTTGAATCAATTCTCCTTCCTCAGCCTCCCAAGTGGCTGGGATTACAGGCACACACCACCATGCCTAACTAATTTTTGTGTTTTTAGTAGAGATGGAGTTTTGCCATGTTGGCCAGCCTGGTCTGGAACTCCTGACCTCAAGCGATCCTCCTGCCTTGGCCTCCCAAAGCACTGGGATTACAGGCATGAGCCACTGTGCCCAGCTGAATGCAACATACTTTTCATTATAACACTAACCCAGCTTCAATGCTGCAAATATATTTGATTTCGGTAATATTTAAAGACTTCTTATTAAAACAGTATGCCATTTTCCACCTCTCAATTTAGTTAATATTAAAAAGCTTTATTCCACCTATGGGGGGTGGGCATGAAGGAATGAAAGCAAATTTATTAATATATCTCAAAAAACCTTTAATAAAACACCATCTCTTACCTTAATTCTCCACTCCCAGTTTCATTCTTTCAAGCAAAATACATATGGAAGGCTACATCCTTAGTTTGGTGCTAGATACTCACCAGTATATAAGAAATGTCCTTTACTTCACCTGCTGCATCTCTGAGTAACTAACCTGTTTCGATGTGAGTGTGTCAAATATTCGAAGAAGTTGGACTTTAAAACAATATGATGCCTCCTCAACCTTTGCTTTCCACAATGTCACCCAAACCTGAAATAAGTAAGATGATATTTCACATGATATGATGGGCTTTTAAAAACAAGAAGAAATGATATCTAAGATTTCTTCCAAAATAAAATTTGAAGATGTTATTGCAACCACTAGCATAGCTCCCAGAAAATTCTTTACAGTTTTAACCCACTGCTTTACACTCAGAAGTTTGAGGTTCAGTGTATCTAGTCTGTTACAGAGGTTGCTTTTTTTCTTTCCTTATAATTATCTGTTCTCAGAAGGTAACTTGAAAAGCTCCAGTACATTGTAGAGGTGAGATAAAAACACAAAGATCGGCCAGGCGCGGTGGCTCACGCCTGTAATCCCAGCACTTTGGGAGGCCGAGGCGGGTGGATCACGACCTCAAGAGATCGGGACCATCCTGGTCAACATGGTAAAACCCCGTCTCTACTTAAAAAATACAAAAAATTAGCTGGGCATGGTGGCGCCTGCCTGTAATCCCAGCTACTCAGGAGGCTGAGGCAGGAGAATTGCCTGAGCCCAGGAGGCAGAGATTGTGGTGGGCCGAGATCACGCCATTGCACTCCAGCCTGGGGAACAAGAGCAAAACTCCATCTCAAAACAAAAAAAAAAAAAAAACACAAAGTTCAAGCAACTTCAGCATAGCCTAAAGATACAAAATCAATGTGCAAAAATCACAAGCATTCCTAAACACCAAGAAGACTTAAAGAGAGCCAAATCAAGAACAAACTGCCATTCACAATTGCTACAAAGAGAATAAAATACCTAGGAATACAACTAACAAAGGATGTAAAGGACTTCTTCAAGGAGAACTACAAACCACTGCTCAATGAAATAAGAGAGGATACAAACAGATGGAGAAACATTCATGCTTATGGTTAGGAAGAATCAATATCATCAAAATGGCCATACTGCCCAAAGTAATTTACAGATTCAATGCTACCCCCATCAAGCTACCAATGACCTTCTTCACAGAACTGGAAAAAAAACACCTTAAACTTCATATAGAACCAAAAGAGACCCCGCATAGCCAAGTCAATTCTAAGTAAAAACAGCAAAGCAGGAGGCATCCACTACTGGAATTCAAACTATACTACAAGGCTACAGTAATCAAAACGCATGGTACAGGTTCCAAAACAGAGATATAGACCAATGAACAGAACAGAGGCCTCAGAGGCAACACAACACATCTGCAACCATCTGATCTTTGACAAACCAGACAAAAATAAGCAATGGGAAAAAAAGTCCCCATTTAATTAATGGTTTGGGAAACTGGCTAGCCATGTGCAGAAAGCAGAAACTGGACCCCTTCCTGACACCTTACACTAAAATTAACTCCAGATGGATGAAAAATTTAAATCATAAGACCTAACACCGTAAAAACCATAGAAGAAAACCTAGACAAAACCATTCAGGACATAGGCATAGGCAAGCATTCATGACCAAACACCAAAAGCATTGGCAACAAAAGCCAAAATAGACAAATGGGACCTAATCAAACCTCCACTACTTCTGCACAGCAAAAGAAACAGTCATTAGAGTGAACTGGCAACCAACACAATGGGAAAAAAATTTTTTCAATCTACCCATCTGACAAAGGGCTGATATCTAGAATCTACAAAGAACTAAAACAGATTTACAAGAACAAAACAAACAAGCCCATTCAAAAGTGGGCAAAGGACATGAACAGACACTTTACGAAGAAGACATACATGAGTCCAACAAACATATGAAAAATGCTCATCATCACTGGTCATTAGAGAAATGCAAATTGAAACTACATTGAGATACCATCTCACGCCATGTTAGAATGGCGATCATTAAAAAATCTGGAGACAACAGATGCTGGAGAGGATGTGGAGAAATAGGAACACTTCCGCACTGTTGGTGGGAGTGTAAATTAGTTCAACCATTGTGGAAGACAGTGTGATGATTCCTTAAGGACCTAGAAATAGAAATTCCATTTGACCCAGCAATCCCATTACAAGGTATACACCCAAAAGGATAATAAATCGTTCTACTATAAGGACACATGCACACGAATGTTCATTGCAGCACTGTTTACAATAGCAAAGACCTGGAACCAACCCAAATGCCCATCGATGATAGACTGAACAGGGAAAATGTGGCACATATACACTATGGACTACTATGCAGCCATCAAAAATGATGAGTTTGTGTCCTTGGTAGGGACACGGATGAAACCTGGAAACCATCATTCTCAGCAAACTGACACAAGAAGAGAAAATCAAACACCGCATGTTCTCACTCATAGGTGGATGTGAACAATGAGGTCACATGGACAATGAGAACTCCCCTCCCCTGTGGAGGGGAGCATCACACACTGGGGGTCTGTAGGGAGGAAATAGTGTAGTGACAGTTGCGGGGTGGGGATTTGGGGAGAGATAGCATGGGGAGAATGCCAGATTAGGTGATGGGAGGAAGGCAGCACATGACACTGCCATGTGTGTACCTATGCATCAATCTTGCATGTTCTTCATATGTACCCCAAAACCTAAAACACAATTAAAAAAAAAAGATCTAGCCAGATATAATGTCAAGATCCTTATCTGGGATATGTATCAATATAATGGAGAAGGCAAACTTGCATCTTGAGCAGACACAATATGAATAGAAGTGTTCTCTGCAACCTTTGAAAACTAGTCCTTTTGGAGAACATTTAATATTGTGGTCCTTTAGTGTTTTGGTTATGAGTCCTTGCCCATGCCTATGTCCTGAATGGTATTGCCTAGGTTTTCTTCTAGGTTTTCATGGTGTTAGGTCCTTAAGTTAAATCTTTAATCCATCCTGGGAGTTAAGTTTTTGGATAAGGTATAAGGAAGGGATCCAGTTTCAGCTTTCTGCATATGGCTAGCCAGTTTTCCCAACACCATTTATTAAATAAGGTTGTTCTCACTAATAAATTAGTGTTTAACAATGAGAACACATGAACACAGGGAGGGGAGCATCACACACTGAGGCCTGTCGGGGGTTAGGGGGGTTAGAGGAGGGATAGGCATGGGGTGGGAAGATAGGGGAGGGATAGCATTAGGAGATATACCTACTGTAGATGATGGGGTGATGGATGCAGCAAACCACCATGGCATGTGTATACCTATGTAACAAACCTGCGTGTTCTGCACATGTACCCCAGAATATTAAAATTTTAATAATATAATAAATATTATATCATAATACAATAAAAAAATTTTTTAATTAGAAAAAGAAATAAAACCAAACAAAAAAGTATTAGAGTTCCATTTGCAAGTAAATCTCTTCGATTTAAATTTGCAGGGGTGGTATCACAAGATAGAAAGGAATGTTTTGCAGTCAAAGCCCATAGTTACAGTTAAGGGCTGAGATACAGGGAAAATCTGTGGGGTATTGGAAATACCGCCTGTGTAATAGGCTTACTCCACAGAAAAAGGTTAAGCGAAGATGGCAGGGTTTAATGAAAAAAGAGTAGTAGCAACCTTATTTACCAGGAATTGATGACGTTGACCATCTATATTAGTATCATATTCACGGTGATTGTTTAGCATCAGACAGAATATTGGATGCTTTTTCCTCTTCTGATTTTTGTGAGAACATAGATTGATCCGAATTAGGAATTTTTGTATCTTTATTTTTTCTTGTAAGATGGCACAATCTTCTTTCCTGTGTCCTGTTAACAATATCCAAACATGACCTTGTCAACAAGTCACTTGTGATAAAATGGGTAACCTAGCCATTGGATTAGTAGGGCTACAAGTTTATTTTAGAACCAGATTCACTTTTGTTCTAAAGCCCTTTCAAATGCTATACTAGGTATTGTCCTGCAGATAAAGGGCTATTTCCATTCTAATTGATTTTTAAATTGGATCTTCAATTGCAGGATTAACTCCATTGCAAAATGAATATAAAAGAGTAGCTATTACATCAACATCTTCTTTAGCTTCCAAATGTTGGAAAGATTTTCTAGTCTATTCTGAAATCTCCTTTAGTTTCATCAGTTTGCATGACCTGAATTATGGCCCAATAATTTTTGCTGGAAATGTTTCAGCTCTGGCTTTTAGGAGACTTCAACCTACACTTACAGCCTTTAAAAAAAAATTTTTTTTTTTTTTACCCTCAGATTTATTGTGGGAAGAAGGATTCTATAGCTCCCTTTCCAGGAAAATATAACCGCTTTTGTCACCCAGGATTTAGCATTCAGATTTAACCCAACATGACTGCAAGTTGATATAGGTCACACATAGGTCAGTGTGTTACACTGCTAGTGAGGACTGCTAGTGAGAAAGAGACTGCTAGTGGGAGGGGGTCCCTGGAGAAACTCCAATCAGCCTGCCCATGGAGGTGGAGCCTGGGGAAATTCAGGACCTTTGCCATAGGGAGGAGCCTGAGCCTGTCCCCTTTTCTTCCTGGGTGGAACACTAAGATTCAAACTGCCTGGCAGGAAGTGCTTAGCAGATCCCCCCTTTTTTTCCTTTCACCCAATAAAACACTGCTTTGTTCACCTCAAAACCATTGCAAGCCTAAATTTTCATGGCCCTGGGACTGACAAGAACACCGTCTTTGGCCGAACTAAGGAAACATCTCTGCAACACTAGGGTTGTCATAACAAAATGCCACGTACTGGGTGTTTAAGCAACAGAAATTTATTTTCTCACAGTTCTAGAGGGTGGGAAGTGTTCTTTTCTTGGGTTTTAGATGGCTGCCTACTTACGGTGCCCTCACCTGGCCTTTCCTCTTTGCTTTTCCATAGACAAGAAGAGAAGATTTCTTCTTCTTCTAATAAGGTCATTAATTCCATCAGGACATCCTCACCCTCATAAGTTAATATAAACCTAAGTACATCCCAAAGAGCCCATCTCCAAATACTGTCACACTGGAAGTTAGGGCTTCAACAGCTGAGTTCAGGGAAACAAAAACTTTCCATCTACAACAATCAGGAAACCCTGGGTCATGTTCATCCAAAAGATTCTAAATTCTTCTATGAATATTTGCCAATCTTAATTGAGTTTAGGGAAATCTTTTATTTAGAGTTCTTAATTTCAGCTTAATTCAGTTACAAGATTTAAACTTTGTAATTCCCTTCATACCTGGATCATAAGAAGAAAGAATTTTGGACGTATCCACCAAAATAAGGCTGAGACAAATAATTAGATAACAGGTTTCTTGGAAAGACAATTGAGGATAAATTCTGGAAGACAAATCAACAAAGTGTGTCAGTCCTGTTACAAGTTGAAAGTTGGAAGTGTTCCTGAGTCTGGTTACAAGTTGAAACGCTTTATAAGAAAGTTTAGAAGGAAATAGAACTCCTCACACCAGTTATCCTCTTTCATTGGAAGGTACAATACAAAGATTACAATCATCGGATACAGATTGCAACATGCTGACTAAAATGTTTACATGCCAGACAATCATGAAGCTTCATGATTCAGAAATAAATAAGTGTTCTTTTCAATAAAGTAGGTCATACACTAATCAGTAAACAATTTTGAAAATTCAGGTTAATATTTTCTACTCAGGGACTGGATGTTGCCATGAATGACAAGACCTCCCCAACATGAGTACATTTGGAAGCCTGTTTATTTCTAAAGTAAACTGTCAAGTGTGACCTGTCTCAGAGGTCCCTGGAATTTTGGGGTTTCAGGAGAGTTGTTGGGAAAAGCTAGAGGTCTGAGCAAGAGGAAGAAGAAGTATGTGAAGGTATTGAAACAGAGAAATCAGAAGATGAGGGTGAATAGAGAGAGCTGAATACAGAGAGGCAGCTCTAGGCAAGTAAATTGTTTGATTTGCTTGCATTTGGAGACCTCTACGTATCAGCCAAAACAAATACTACCCATTGGGCCAGAGAATTTTTATCCTCTTTCTTTTTGAAGATGCCTCTTAAATGAAGTTTTATTGAAGACAAATGTTTGTCAGAGTGGCTTCTGAAGGACTGAGTCATCTTTAGTGAAGTCATTGTCGTTTAGAAAGATAGTCGAAAGAATTAAAATTGTAATATGAGTACATACAAGAAACCAGAGTTTTCCTGCAACTGGAAAGGAATTACACTCCAATTGAGACAGTACGTGGAAGCGTCTCAGTCCCAGCAGACGAGACATAATAACCAAGACTCCATGGGTCTCACATGTCCGGGCATATTCCCTCCCCTACCTCCTTGCTTCTCTTAGCAAGCTGACCTAAGTCACACAGCAGAAAGCTGCCCTGCTCCTAACTCAGCTGAACAAGCTGAATCCCTAACCATATTAGAAAAAACCTAACCATTTATGTTCTTGAATTACTTCTCCTAAGGTTGTTGAAGAGGGACTCTGGCATTCCTGTTAAGAACCTGACCAGATCCAGCTGGCTAAAGACAAGATGGACTCCAGCACTAATCTTTCACTGAGTTTTTCCTCATTATAATCTCCTCTAATACTAAAAATCACATCCAGTGGTGGAGATTTTAAATGCTAATGAGACATACAATGCATGAAGAAGCATGTTCTCAAATTTCACAGGTGCTAAAAATTCCCCACCCTACATGCCTACATGCTTGTGCAGGCAACTTCTGTTTTAAAACCAACAGATCTCTGGCAGGGCAAGGTGGCTCCACACCTGTAACCTCAACACTTTGGGAGGTCAAGGTGGGTGGATCACCTGAGGTCAGGTATTCAAGACCAGGTTGACCAACATGGTGAACCCTGTCTCATTAAAAATACAAAATTAGCCAGGCATGGTGGCACATGCCTGTTATCCTAGCTGCTTGAGTGGCTGAGGCAGGAGAATCACTTGAACCTGGGAGGCGAATGTGCAGTGAGCTAAGATCGTGCCATTGCATTCCAGTCTGGGCAACAAGAAGGATACTCCATCTCAAAAAAAAAAAAAGACACCATTGCATCTCATGAGACCATTTACTGTCTACTGTCACAAGAACAGCATGGGAATGGCCTGCCCCCACAATTCAATAATGTCCCACTAGGTCCCTCCCACAACATATGGGAATCATGAGAGCTACAAAATGAGATTTGGGTGGGGACACAGAGCCAAACCATAATATAATGTATTAAAAAAATTATGGTACCAGATAATACAACAAAACTTAAATTATAATCATTTTAAAGTATGGCACTGAGTATAATAAAAATCAGCAGGCAACAGGACTAAATGGATGGTCCAGAAAACATTTCCATACAATAATAACTGTCCTAGCCATTACAAAAAAAATCTATTATACATATCTGACATTAAAATAAGTTCTTTACATTTTTTAATTGAAAAATTTGATCTTATTGTAAACTGACAAAATACAATTGTATATGTTTATAAAATGCTAAGTAATGTTATGTTTATGAATATAATACAGAATAATTAACATATCCATTGCCTCAAATATTTGTCATTTTTGTGGTGAGAACATTGAAATTTACTCACCTAGCAAGTTTGAAATATGCAATATACCATTATTGACTATACTCAACATTCCATGCACAGATTAAAAAAAAACCACCCACACACACACACACACCACACACACACAAAAGCTAATGTCTCCTGTGTAAATCAGACTTTGTATCCTTTCCATCACCATCTCTTTATTCTCCCACCCTCACACTCTGGTAACCACCCTTCTACTCTCTGCTTCTATTAATTCAATTGTTTTAAAGTCCCACATATAGGTGAGAAACATGTGGTATTTGTCATTCTTTGCTTGGCTTATGTCATCAATTTCATCCATGTTGTCTCAAATGGCAGAATGTCTCCTTTCTTAAGGCTAGATAATATTCCATGTATATATACCACCATTTTTCTTATTTATTTATTTATTTTTATTTTTTAATTGCATTTTAGGTTTTGAGATACATGTGCAGAACACGCAAGATAGTTGCATATGTACACACATGGCAGAGTGATTTGCTGTCTTCCTCCCCTTCACCCACATCTGGCATTTCTCCCCATGCTATCCCTCCCCAGCTCCCTCCTCCCCACTGTCCTCCCCTATTTCCCCCAATAGACCCCAGTGTGTAGTGCTCCCCTCCCTGTGTCCATGTGTTCTCATCGTTCATTCACCCGCCTATGAGTGAGAATATGCTATACCACATTTTCTTTATTCATCTATCTGTTCATAGCCACTTAGGTTGATTCCTCAACTTGAGTAATGTGAATAAATGCTGCAATGAACGTGGAAGTGCAGACATCTCTTCAATGTACTGATTCCATTTTTTTAGAAATAGACTCAAAAATGGAATTATTACACTATATAGTAATTCTATTTTTAGATATTTTAAGAAACATCCATATTGTTTTCATAATGGCTGTACTAATTTACATTCCCATCAACAGTGTATCAGAGTTCTCTTTTCTCTGTATCATCACCAACATTTGTTTTCTTTCATCTTTTTTTGGTAATAGCCATTCTGACAGATGTGAGGTGATATCTTATTGTGGTTTTGATTTGCATTTTTTCTGATCATCAGTGATGGTGAGCATTATTTCATGTATCTGTTGGCCATATGTGTGACTTCTTTTGAGAAATATCTATTGAGGTCCCTTGCCCAATTTCAAAATTGGGTTATCTGTTTTCTTCTATTGAGTTGTTTGACTGTCTTATATGTTTTGGGTACTAAGCTGTTATCAGGTATATGCATTCCAAATATTTTCTCCCAATCCATAGGTTGCCTGTTTACCCTGTTAATTGTT